CTTAAACTTGCGCCATCCTTTCAAGAGGGAACAAGGTGGTTATCATAATTCTTCCTTTAATGTTTTATGCGGCTGTTAACTGCCTGCAGTAACAACTTGATTTGACTTTCTGATTTTTCTTAAATAAGAAGGCCACTTATGTTGTTATGTTAATCCATCATACTTTTTTTTCAGTTTCACGCCACAATTTGCTGCAGATGTTGACGGGGGTCTACCTAAAATTGCTTTTAATAATCTTTCATCAACACAGATAGGTATAATACTGAAGATGGGCTATGGTTTTTCGTTTCTGAACCATTTGGCATACTGTCATAAGTCACAACTCATACCTATCCTTTAACTTTCTATTTCAGGTAGACATTACCCAGGAATATTAGCTTCGACATCCATTAATGGTGGATCTTTGCGCATGATGCATAATTCTGTTGGGTCACCTGTCAACTCCTTCACTGAACGTCATCAGTGTCTCGATATTCCCGTTGGAACGCCACCATCGACAAGAATCATGTCCGCTAGCAAGCCTGTTGGTCTTCAGGAGTTTGGAAGCCCTTTTGATAATTCGAAAACGGGGATTCAAAGCATGCCAAACCTTCATCCTCATTCTTTTCATGAGTACTTTGACAACTTTGCAAGTGGTAGTCCATATAAATCTTCTACCACATTCTCTGAAATGAATGGCCAGAAAGCAAATGAAGGCTTTATGATGAGCAATGTTCGTGGAGTTGGCGTAGATGGGTTTAATGGAGGTGGTAAGTACATGTTTTAATTGGTTTTCTGCCTTGATACATTTGCCTAAGGTTAGGGATTGTGCGTTGCTGACAACTGTTAATTATGAAAAATAGTCAACAGTTGGATAATGAAGCTCCTCGTTTCAGCTAGCTTAATACGTATTAATACTGGGGTGTGAAGAGGGAAAGTGGCCCATACGTACACTGCATATTAAAATTTTGACAATTAGAATTGCTGAGAAGTTTGATGTGGAAGATTGTGATGAAGTTTTTCTATATACCTGCTTGTGCAAGTTATATGAGTTTCCTCATTTGTTTTTTCTTTTCTTGTAGTCATAGGATCTCCGGTAAATCAAGGATCCCATCGTGCAAACCCCAACTTGTGGAGCAACTCTAACCCTCAGCAACTTAACCCGTCAAATGGCACGATGTGGCCTAACTCACCATCTCGCGTCAACGGCGTTGCTTCTCAGCGCATCCCAGCTGTTACTGCATTCTCTAGAGCATCTCCTTTAATGGTGAACATGGCATCATCGCCTGTGCACCAGCATATTGGATCTGCCCCAGTATTAAACTCGCCTTTTTGGGATAGAAGACAGACCTATGTAGCTGATTCTCCCGAAACTTCTGGATTTCACTTTGGTTCTCACGGTAGCATGGGATTCCCTGGCTCTTCTCCCTCACATGCAATGGAAATGGCTTCTCATAAGGGTTTTTCTCATGTTGGTGGGAATCGTATGGATGCCAATTCCAGTAATGGTGTATCGCGGTCATCGCGACAGATGCCCCACTACTTTTCAGGAAGGAGCTCAATGCTTTCAGTGCCAGGCTCATTTGACTTGCCTAATGAACGATACAGGAATCTCTCTCAGAGAAGAAGCGAGTTTAGCTCTAATAACGCTGAAAAGAAACTGTTTGAGCTTGATGTTGATCGCATATTACGCGGGGAGGACAGCAGAACAACATTGATGATAAAAAACATTCCTAACAAGTGAGTGAATTCCCTTCTCTTTCTTTTACTAATTACAATTCGTTTCTGGTCTGGGTTGAATTCACATGTAGGTTATTTTATCCTGTTTCATCTTTGACATATATTTCACTTTTTGTTTCTGTAATGGGTTTAGGTATACTTCTAAGATGCTTCTAGCTGCCATTGATGAGCACTGTAAAGGAACATATGACTTCCTTTATTTGCCAATTGATTTCAAGGTATGCAGGCCTTTTACCTTCTTGTCTAATATAAGCCTACTTCAGGCCTTGTGTCCTATTATGGTGTTTTTCAATATTATGATGGACCTGCCCTCTCTTTGCAGAACAAATGCAATGTGGGATATGCGTTCATCAACCTTACCAAACCGGAAAACATTGTCGCGTTGTACAAGGTACATGAATGATTTTTGTTCACGACGTCCCAAATCGGTTTAGAATAATAAGCATTCGTTAATCGTTACAATTTATATCCCTGGCAGGCATTCAATGGTAACAAGTGGGAAAAATTCAACAGCGAGAAGGTGGCATCTCTTGCATATGGTCGGATCCAGGGAAAATCAGCTCTTATTGCTCATTTCCAGAACTCAAGTTTGATGAACGAAGACAAACGTTGCAGACCGATTCTCTTCCACACAGCCGGTCCAAATGCTGGTGATCAGGTACCCAAATGTTTTTTTTCCCTTTCGGTTGCATGTACCCATATCTCTTGTTACTTTGTATAACACATAGAAATGCATTGTCCTTGTTTCCTTTTTTGATCATAAGCAGTCATATAGATTTGTACGAGTCATAGTTGTTTTTTTTTTAACAAGAATTGATTCATTTGTATCAATGTACACGACTGTGCAGGAACCGTTTCCAATGGGTACGAACATCAGGTCAAGACCAGGGAAGCATCGAACAAGTAGCGTCGAGAACTACAACACCAACTTTAGCAGCAGCTCAGAAAACAGAGAAGAGCCTCCAAATGGGACGGACTCGTTCTAACCGATGAGGCAGACAGTTTTCATGTCATAAGCCCAGAGACTAACCTTAGACATCTTCTTCGATCAGAGACACCAAAGATTAATAAGGTAATATATATATTATATCGTTGTCACCCCAGAGCTCTGTAAATCCTTGGGGGGGTGATAAGTGGAGAAAATTATTGGACTTCTGGTTCTCTAAACTTGTTCAAGTTGCTTCACAAGTTTTGTTGTAACATCAAAACCTCCCAGAGAAATCTTGCTGGCTTTTTTTTTTTGTTTGCTTTTCTAATTTTTTTTTTGAGACTTTTTGGTTTTTTTTTTCCTATTTTGTTGGGTTGTGTTTACAAGAATGTTTCTTTGTAACAACAGCCTGGTACAATGTGTTTCAGTTTCTTTGTCAGCTTTTTGGGACCATATCATTTATATGTAAACCCTTGAGGGCAAAGTTTTTGGCAATGCTTTCTTCTTCTTCATCTTGGGTTTCTAGTATGTTATATAAAGCTTCTTCCTATTCGAATGGTAAAACAGTTATTTGGTATCTTAATAGCCGAGCCAAACCGGATAAGAAAATCGATTCAAACACTGGTTATTTAAAACTAATAAGAGGGTTTCTAAAGTTCCCCACGTTGTGCATGAACAGTTGACGACTTCAGAGACAGGCTTCAGTCATCTCATGTGGATATATCTGGCCCATTAAAACATAAACTAGGACCCATTAAGGGCCTGCCCTCTTAACAGAAAACAGAAACATTTGGGTTTTGTCTGCAATCAAATGAGGTATATTATTATTTTCTATTGTTTTACTTTGAAAAGGGTAATTATGTTCGGTGATCATGCTTTTGAAAAAGGTTTGTTCGCCTTTCTGATGGCAAAAACGTTTTAATTGGTCATTACGTAAAAATCATGTCGTATTATTATTCACGTCCCCGTTAAAAGTTGCGTTTTTTATTTTCCTTACTTGATTCCAGTCACACCGCATTACAGAATAATTCTTATATAGTATTATTATAAAATCCATATCCCCCTTCTAAGAAAAATGCTTATTCTTCCCCATAGAATAGAATAGAACTAATAACAAAATTATCTTGTAAAAGTCGGCCTGTATATACGAAATAATAAAATAAAACGAACCACCAATTTTCGATGTGTCAACAAAATCCACTGTAGTAAATATCCTCACGTGACAGTTGCATTGCATTACCTTATCTCTTACAGTCAATAATTCAATACGCCTAAGTTTTAATTACTGTAATTATAGGAAAATAATAATAATAATTAATTAGTGTAATAATGTTGTCCATAATTTGGTAATAATGATAGGCTGTATATGTCAATAATAACAACTAGAGTTTGACCCGCGCGCCCGCGCGGGTGTTTGTTCTACAATTATATAGATCAAATATTTTTGATAGTTTTTGATAGTATACTGTTTGTGCATTTTCAGGTGTTACATATTGTAGTATTTATACACAAACACTTGTTATTTATATGAAGTAATTTTATTAATGGTATCTTTGGGATAGTTGAATCAATTGTTTAT